ACTCTTATCAAACTTGTTTCTACTATACAGAACCTCTGAAAATGTCTTGGAGTCCCCAAAGGACCCGCAGACCATACTTTGAGAACCATGGTTGTAAGGTATCTGATTCTTCAGAGTCAGCCTTCTCTGTAAGAAGTCTCCAGATATGCTTACCCTTTCTTTTCCCTTCCTCCTGCCTTGACCAGTGCTGCGAGCCTTGTTAACTCTTCCCTGGATTGTCCCAATAGATCACTATCTGCTAGGTTTTGTGACATCTGTCCCACTGGGGAGTAGGGAGCAGAAATCCAGCTTAAGCTCCATGGAACGTGGTTTGAGGTGACATCCTCTGGAGGAAGGGGCATCTCTTACTGATTTTGCACAGATTACACAGGACTTATAATTGCTTATTTCACCTCCTGTTCTTGCCCCAGTTCAATCCTACTGCCAGAGTGATGTCTCTTAAACACAAATACAGTCACAATACACTCATCTCAGATGTCATCGTGTAAATACACTCAACTTGGAATCCAAGGTGTCCCTTGAGGGTTGCCAGATAAAATATGGGACACCCAGTTACATTTGTATTTTTAGATAAGCACCAAAAAATATTTCAGCATGAGCATATCCCAAATATTGCATGGGACATACTGATACTAAAACATTCTTCATTGTTTGTCTGAAATTCTAATATACCTGAGTGTTCTGTATTTTTATTGGCTAAGTCTTCAACCACACCCCTGCCCCAGCATACCTGGCTTGGGCTTCAGTCAATCTGAATACTCAGTGTTGTCAGGCAGGCCCTCTTACCTGTGCTTATCTCACCTCCATACATTTGTCCTGGCTCTTGCTCTGCCTAGCGTTGTCCTCCCTGCCTGTCTTTCTCTGTCAAAGTCCTGCCATCTCTGAATGGCCAGGAGCCTTTACTGATGGTTCCAGGCAGATATGATCTTTCCCATCTTTGAACCACAGAGCACTTTGTATCTCTCCTAAGGTACCTACTTCCTCAATTTTGTGTGTAGCTATGGGCTGGGTTGGTAGCTTATCTTGTCTCCTCTATTGAAGTATGAGTTCCTTAAGGATGAGCATCATTATTTCCATCTTTTTTGTTCCTGCAGTGATGGGCACAGTGCCCTGCACAGATTTTGTGCTCGATACATAGTTGTTAAATTGCCAGTATTCAGCCCATCATGTTTTTAGTAACTGTACTTCAGTTACTAACTGAAAACAAATGAAAATTCATTGCTTATTAAAACCCACATTTGGGTTCATTTTCTGATTGAAGATGAATCACTTACTGGTTAAGACCCTTCCACATGTGTCATGTCTCAGATAAAGAACAATCTGAGGTATCAACTGTGATTAGGCAATTCTCATAAGAGATACAGCCATCCCAACTTAGAATGGGCTAAAAATACTATTCTATGTTTCCATTCAATTTGGTATGGAGAGAGAGAGAGAGGCTATTAGCTGTTCAAGGATGTTTTAACCCTCTTGGAGGTTCTCCCTTCTGTCTCCCTCCTTCTTTCCTTGCCTCCATCATTCCTGTTTGGCCACTCTGCATGGGGTATGGCATTCAAGTAAAACATATGAAGTAACGGGGTCATTTATCAGGACATAGACATGGCAGAGAAAGGCAACTAAAGTGTTCAGGCAGTCCTCATAAAGGAAAATGTCCGACAGAAGATATGCCATATACCTGGGAAAGTAAGCATTCCGGTGGTGTTCATTTTACCATTACAGAGGTTACCAGAACCTCGGTGCAGTGGACCCTGGCACCACTGCAGTGGGATAATGGTTGTTACTCTCTGACCATTGAGCAGTGTTGGAATATCCAGCCCATCTTCCTCTCCCTCACATCACTTGATATTTCCTTTCTGCCTAAGCCTACTAGGAAAATGTTTTTACTCTTTTAAAGATGAATGTAGATACCTATTCCTTCAAAAGGGCTCCCCACAGCACAGCTACTGACTCAATGGTTCTAGGTGATGCCTGCAGGCGCTGCTGCTGTCACAGAGGTCAATGAACCACTCCATCATGTGTGGCAAAAACGCGGCCAATGAAACACACAGATTAATAATTCTCCCCTAACTAAAGGGTTCTTAGGACCCCATATCTGTCCATAAGAGTTAATATGGTGCAACTGCAAGGCTCAGGGAAGTTGAGTTCCCAGGGGACAAACTAAATATTGTCTCTTAATGCTTTCCTGACTATGCATAGCAATTTCAGTAGGCAGGAAGATAAATCTCTAATTCCAGCACGGGACCTTTTTTTGACTAAATTGGTCACTTCATGTAATTCAAAACTCCTTTACTGCAATGTTAACTTTAATGGGCTTGGAAGGAAGACGATTTCTCAAGATGAATGTATTTCTAAGGGGCGGCTCAAGACATAATAGGTATGTTTAATGTAGCTGTAATGCTCCTGACTCCAAGTTCTGTTGCTTTAGGAATTTATGTACCAGAGTTCTCATCCTTTACTCCCTATACTCGACAATCCCTTCTCCCCAGTCTCTCTCTCTACCCTTTTTTTTTTCTCATTTTAAACAGGAAAATCTAGAATGCTAATTTCAAAATAAATAAAGCAACCATAAATTAGTAGGACTAAGCAGCCTTCTAACGAAAATGACTGATAGTTGATTGCTATCTGGCAAATACAGATAATGCAATTCCCTTTTACTGATGCAACAATCATCTATTTAAAATGCATGACAAGACCTATCTGACATGTAAACTTGTGTGTTTGTTCTAAACCCTTATTTTATCCGTTAAGCCCCATGTTACTGTCCACTGGGGAAAAAGTCAAATTCTAACCTCTATATCTTAGATAACCAGTAAGAGAAGATATTTAAAAACTTTTTGAACAAATGAGGTTAGCTACTAAATACAAATGTTCATTTAGGATTCATTTACTTACGTCAGCAAAATCCTGGAAAGAATAAGATTTTTGGCCCCTTGAAAAGCACAAATCACCTTCATGCTTCCTGACATAATTCTACATTCCGTTTTATGACATCTTTCCTCAGAGAAGCTCCATTTATAGAGATTGGTTTATAATTTTAACAACAAAAGGAAATTCCCTTTATGGGTTCAAAATGAGAGGCCGCATATTTGCATGTAAAAAGAATGTGTCCTACACTCAGAGAGAAAGATTTCGATCCTGCTCCTGACAAAACTCAGGCTGATTAGCCACACCACTCATATTTCTTTTCTGCAGTGTGTGGCTAATATTTACCTAGGTTTATGGTGGGTAAACACTGAATAAAGGCAAGCAAGTTTTATTTAATCATCTCGACTTCAGCTACACACACACCTGTACTGTCAACAAAAATTTGACATCTCCATGTTTATGTCAGGAGCAGGATTGCCAAGTTGCTTTGGTCTTGATCATTCAAAGGAAAATCTTAATTGAAATTGAATAATTGTCATTGTCTTTGATGTGGGCCTCCCTCAGATAAGAGCCTTGCAGAATTATTGTAGAAAAGGGGGAAGTGTGTGGGCGGAAGCTGTGCACATGCTGCGTCTGTCCATTTAGGAGTAAATCACAGTGCTCTTCCTGCTGTTTGGGATTCTGTCTGTTGACATTAAAATGTCCTCACAACTTAGAAAAATCATTAAGGATTCCATTTGCACCTCTCTGGTGGGAAGTTAAGAAATAAAACCATGCCAGCCAGTGTACATTTCAAATATTTACAATCCTATGCTTTCTCTCCAGGCAGTGCTCTCACAGTATCCCTCTGAGAAATTAGTGTCGACACAGAATAGCCCTCCTCGAGGCTGGCATTTTATTAAGGAAATCTGAGTCACTTCTTTCTCCACCATCCCCCAGAACCCTGCTCTCATTACCTCTGATGCTCATGGCAGACATTAAAGAAGGGAAAGGAAGAGAGGACCAGGAAAGGGAAGGGGGAGGCAGTAGGAAAGGAATAGAAGGAAAGGGGAGGGAAAAAGGGAAGACAAGGGAAAGGGAGGGGAAGGGAAGGGAGCAGAAAACGTCACTGGCACTTACCAGTTGCTTAGTAAATATTTTCACTGAACTGAGCCTCCAATAGCACACTTCCATTCTGAATCTCAACTGAACTGTGGTTTCAGTAACAAGGGACAAAGTGATAGCAGTAATGTTGGCTTCTAAGTATTCTATGTACAGAGACAGCGGTCCTTAAGGCTACTAAAGATCATTCCATGACAAATGAAAGGTTAAAGATTGACATGAAGACAATTTCTTAACAGTGAAGTGATGGGAAGGGTAGTGGAAATAGTTTCAGAATTTCTTTCCCAGAATTTTAAAAAATTGAATACATTTTTACCTTTCTGACATATCCGACTCCAGACATACCTTTCTGACATATCCAACTTCTGACATACCTTTCTGACATATCCGACTCCTGATAGAGAAAGACAAATATCATATGATATCACTTATATGTGGAGCCTAAAAAAAAGATACAAATTCTATTTACAAACCTAAAATAGACTCACACACATAAAAAATAAGCTATGATTACCAAAGGGGAAAGGATAAATTAGGGGTTAGGGATTAATAGACACATGTTACTACATATAAAATAGATAAACAACAAGGACCTACTGTATAGCACAGGGAACTATATTCAATTTCTTGTAACAGCAAATAATGGAAAAAATCTGAAGAGAAAAAAAATATATACATGTATGTATATGTGTAACTGAATCACTTTGCTGTACACCTGAAACTAATATTGTAAATCAACTACACTTCAATAAAAAATGAGAAAAAAAAAGCATGTCTGAGTCCTGAAGACTTTAGCTGGAGGGAAGGATACGTCATGGACGATGGAGGTGAGGATAAGAAAAAGAGACAGACAGAGAAATCTAAGGAGAGCTTCTTGCTTAGGCTCAAGCTTTTTCTAGGTTAACATGAAGGGATTCCACACACACACCTTTGATCACCAGATATTCTAGAAATATATCCCCTCATGTCGTCCAGCACCAGGACCTGGAACTGAGTGGTTTTGTCACTGAGCTCATCACTTTCTCAAATGGCAGGAATCACCACGGTGCTGACCATGTCCACCATCCTCTCTGGTGTGAGTGCCTCCATGCCCCAGGCGTCCTACATCAAGGCCGTGGATGTGTACCTGTGGGTCAGCTCCCTCTTTGTCTTCCTGTCGGTCATTGAATATGCAGCCGTGAACTACCTCACCACAGTGGAAGAACGGAAACGACTCAAAAAGACAGGAAAGGTACTGGCTTGCTTGGACTACTGGATCCTTTTGGGAATATGAAAAAGACTACCCTCATTTCTGCCCACTCCTGACAGCATTGCAACCCTTGTATAGAGTCCATTGTGCCTTGGCGGGATGCAGGTTTGCAGGATGATGACCGTTTAATATGGAACTTCATACTGATTCTCTCTGCTCTGTGCTGGCTGGTTTCCTCAGATCCTCATTCGCCTTTGGAGGAGGTATTTTGTGTGAGGAATTTCTCTCTGTGTGCTCCCCTCCACTGACTCTAACCCTTGGGAAGAAGGGGTTGTACAAATCACATCCTTTCAAGTAGATGATGGTGACGATAATAATCATAGCCAACTTTAATGAGAGTTTCTTATGCATTGGCATCGGGCTAACCACCCAACGTATTGTGTCATTTAATGCTCAGAGTGACCCCGAGAGGTGGGTACATTATCAGCTTCATTTTACCAAGGTGAAGTAGGAGCAGAAGGGGAGTATTTGGCCAAGGTCACACAGCTAGAGAGGAATCGGGATTTGTTTCTGGAGCTTCCTGACTCCAAAGATTATGCACTTGACCAATAAAGATAGCTCTTCGCCAAGGGCTAGGATTTGTTGCTCTTTTCTTGTCACTCGGGAAAGTGGTAGAGCATAAAGGGAAGTTCTTCTCTGCACAGTATCGTGGGAATAAGGTGCCTTCTGGGCTCTAAATGTATCACATGTTTCTTGTGACATTGCTAATAAATCCGGATAGACTGATCTTTACCTGCTTCATTTCATAAAGGATTAGGGCACCAGTTCCCTGTTGTTATGAGAACTGACATGAGGTATTTTGCTTCAGAAGCCTAAGTGATCAAATTAATTTCTTTGCTATATATATGTGCATGTGTATTTGTATATATGTATAATTTTAATCTAATATATTCACATGGGTTTAAGAAATTCTTATATGAGCATTTATACATGCCCCAAACATTATTTCGTATTTTTATACTTCTAGTGAGAGCATTTCATACTTTTCAGAGCACTTTTATATCGTCTTCTTGAACTGAACCCTCAGATCAGCTCCAGGATGGCGGCTTTGCAGAGATTATTTTCTCTCTTTTAAAACTCCAAAAGCAGAATTTTAGTGAAGTAAGGTGATTTGCCAAAAGATCCACAGCCAACAGAGCTGCAATTGCAATTCAGATCTCCTGTAATGCTGCTTCATTTTTATTTCATATCCTTGGAGTCAAAGCTGTAATTGAAGCTGATTTTGCTTTATTGCAGATGCTTCAGTTTCTTTTGTTGACCGCATGTGAGTGTGGGTCCTGTCGCACACACCCACAGTGACTGCTCTGCAGGGGTGAGGGGGTCAGGAGCCCTTAGATGAGTATGTGGTAATTGGCATGTACGCATCACCTGGGATTTGTTAGGATTTTCGTTCAGTAGCTCTAGGGTGGAATCTGAGAGCCTGCATTTCTCACCAGCCCCAGAGGCAGCCAATCCTTAGCCCACGCTGTGAAAAGCAATGATTTTGATCATCTGTGAAGTGAAAGGTGACAGAGAAAAATGTGTGATGAGGGAAAGAATTTTGTTGTTCTTGTTGTTTTGTTTTGTTTTTACATGGGGAGTGGTTAACCCTCGAAAGAGGCACTAAAGTAATGTTGGCTTACCTCTGTCTAGTCCTTTGACTCACAAATATCTACATCTCCCACCCCCACCTGCCACTCAACACACATTTTTTTTAACATTTTTTATTGAGTTATAGTCATTTTACAACGTTGTGTCAAATTCCAGTGTAGAAACAACACACATGTTCACACTACCTGAATTTTTTTTCACTTCATCATATTGTAGACAATCTGTATACCACAGAAGAGATTCTTTTGACTTAATAAGTGTTGTTCATTTTAAAAATTTATTTTTTGATTTTAAAAACAATTTTTCTTTTTTCTCTTTTTTTCTTCTTCCTTCCTGTCTTTATCTGATCTTTTTTTTAATTGAAATATAATCAGTTTACAATGTTGTGTCAATTTCTGGTGTGCAGCATAATGTTTCAGTCATACATATACATACATATATTCGTTTTCATATTCTTTTTCACTATAGGTTACTACAAGGTATTGAATATAGTTCCCTGTGCTATACAGAAGAAACTTATTGTTCATCTATTTTATATATAATAGTTAGTATCTGCAAATCTCAAACTCCTGATTTATCCCTTCTCACCCCTTTTACCCCTGGTAACTGTAAGGTTGCTTTCTATGTCTGTGAGTCTCTCTTATTTGTAAAAAAAAAAAAGTTCACTTATGACCTTCTTTTTAGATTCCACATGTAAGTGATATAGTATGGTATTTTTCTTTCTATTTCTGGCTTACTTCACTTAGAATGATGATCTCCAGGTGCATCCATGTTGCTGCAAATGGCATTATCTTATTCTTTTTTATGGCTGAGTAATATTCCATTATATAAATATACCACAGCTTCTTTATCCAATATCTGTCAATGGACATTTAGGTTGCTTCATGTCTTGGTTATTGTAGATAGTGCTGCTATGAACAATTGGGTGCATGTATCTCTTCATATTAGAGTTCCCTGCAAATATATGCCCAGGAGTGGGATTGACTTTTAATTGTAGTAAAATATATACAACATAGAAATTTTCACCATAATTATTTTTAAATGTACAGTTCAGTAGTATTAAGAACATTTGCATTGTTGTACAGCCAATCTCCAGAACATTTTCTTCTTGCAAAACTGAAACTCTGTACCCATTAAACAACTCCCCATTTCCCCCTCCTCTGATCCTTGGGAAACCACCATTCTAAGCATCTTCCTTCAAAGGTGCAGTTATCTCAGAGAAGTGTCCCACTTGCAATTCATATATTTGTGGGACAAAGGAAAGGGCACAGGATTTGGAGCCAGAAATGATGCCAAACCTAACTTGCTGGCTCTGTGTTCCAGGCTGTCTCCTAAACCTCATTCTGTATTTGCAAAATGGTGGAATTTCTTCCCTGTTTACCTCACAGGGCTGTTACAAAGGTCAAATGATATAATAAGTGGGTTTGAATTTTTTCAAACTATAAAGTGCTCCACAAATATTAAGTTCCTATTGTGATCAGTGCCCACACCATATGCTCTGAAGGAGTAGTAGTTTTAATAGGGATAGTGAGAACAGGCTGTTTGAGACCAGAGGGTGGGATGCTCTGATAAGGGGCAGGGAAGAAGGATACGTGTGCAGGTTTGGGGGTTAATGAATGGCATCTCTCCCCATCATCCCTGAGCTGGGGAACCAGTGAGAGAGAGAGATGTGGGAGTCAGGCTGATTGCTGTGATGATGTTATCTTTGTTACTGATAAAGCAGTTTGGAGAAAGTGTGTTAGGTCTGTGAGCAGGAAATGTCATTATTATTTCATGGCTGTATTAAATGTAGTTACTCTCTTGGTTGCTGGTGAAGCTAGATGATTTAGGACTCCCCCTGTAAGGACAGTTTCCTTTGCCTTATTTCAGAGAACAAACCAGGACACGAATACAGATCTGAAAGTGAAAACTCAAAAGGGACTGAGCCACATATGCCAGTTCCTTCCTCCAAACCCCTAGGATGGAGTTATTGAGGGATGGTAAGAAAGACCAGGACTGTTAGGCTATGGAGTTCCTCCCTATGAAATCATAAAGTCATGCAAAGCTCATGCCCTACCGCCACCACCATCACCACCATCGCACACCTGTGCCCATCACCCCCAGATGCCAAGAGCTGGGAGAGACAAGGGGCCATCGAAAATTTGTGCTGAGTGTCGACCTTTTCCCAGAAAGGTGAAAGGAAGCTGATTTCTTTTTTATTCCGTCATCCACATGGTCTCCTAATTCCAGGGCTTAGAACTCAGTCTTCTAAAACAGTTACATCTGTATTCAGCTATAATATGCCTTAGCTATGTGCTTATTTGTGGGCTGAAGTGAAAAATTAAAGACCAGTTCTAAAACTGTTTCTGTTGGAAGAGCCACCTTGTAAACTTGTGGAAATTAGTAGCCCATTGGTAAATGGTGTACTGCAAGACTTAATCAATTGTATAGATCTAGATTATCATAATGAAGAAAGAAAATGATATTCTTGTTTTTCAAAGAAGATTACTTCTTCTTTAACATACTAATGACATTGTTGTTAACATAAAAATGTGAATGTCCATTGGGACGACTCAGCAGCGTTCTGGGTGCCTAGCAAAACCACCAAGGAGACTATACATAGTTACTCCATCCTTAGATCAAGAGTTTAATATATTATTGTTATCATTGGCTACTAGTAATTCAGTCTTGATGTCATTTCATGTTTATTTTACACACTTACATTTTACTGTGGAAAGTTTCTGCAACTAAAACAAAAAGGGACAACATAATTTGAGTATCAGTCCCTGGTTAGTTTACTTACCACACAAAATAGTCCCCATGTCTCTTGAATTCAGTAAAATACTAGGGTTTTGAATCACTATGAACCAAATACATGTTTTGGCAGAATTTACTCTGCAGTGTCCAATCTGAATTCTGAATATTTACATCCAGTAGTAGCCTGTCCATGTTTGTTCATTTTTTTAACTTCCCTATAGATCAAGAAGTGATTTTGTTTTCTCAGAAAGAGATTAGTAACAGCTGCTTCCTAGACACAGCTCTGTACCGGTGAGAACCATTATCTCCCTTAGAGTAAAACCTTAAAGAAAAATGGTAGTTTAGATTCAATCAGGCAGTGGAGCCAGAAAGCACTGATAATTCATTCCTTCCAAAAAATAAGCCAATTTCAAGTTGTTTAATTGAGCTATGTTAGTAACACTCATAGGTAATTTTCAGCAAAAATGGAAAGGTTTGGCCAATTTGCATTTTAAAAGAGCAGTTAAAATCATTCCCTACTCCCACCCCAGATTTAAGCATAAATGGATCATCAGATATTGTTCTGTTTGGGATTGAAAACACACTGATTGGGCATACTGCTATGTTTTCTGCGAAGGGGAAAAAATACAATGAAAGACAAATCCAATTGTCTTATATTAGTCTTCTGACAAATCATATTCAATTTTAACTCACAAACTTATGGCAAACAATTCATACAACTCAAAAACAATGTTCCCTTCTTGGGAAACACACATGGAGTGTAACAGTCTATCAGGCCAGGAACTAAATTAGAACACATTGGCAATTATAGTCGTGATACATTTATTTGTAATAATGCACATCTCTCTCTCTCTCTCTAAATACCTATTAAAAATGGGTCTCTAAAATGATGTTTTCCATTTATTATGAACGTGACTTTTAATCAGACACCAGAAACAAAATCAGAATTCTGTTCTTTAAAATAAGCAAAACATTCTTAACATTTATTGAAACTATGTTTAAAATCTGATTGTTTAGACTTTTAGTGTAATTCCTCCTCCTAAAACCATATTCATGACTTACTAACAAAAGTCTTTTTGTCAGATTTCTGGAATATACAATATTGATGCAGCTCGAGCCATGGCCTTTGATGGTTGTTACCATGACAGTAAGACAGACATGGACCAAACTTCCTTTTCTCTCCACTCAGAAGAGGACTCCATGCAAGGAAGATTCACAGGCAGCCCCAGCATAGATTCACCTTGGATAAAGAGAAGAAAATCCCTACGAGGGCACGTTGGTAGAATCATCGTGGAGAACAACCATGTCATTGACTCCTATTCACGGATTTTATTTCCCATTGTGTACATTACATTTAATTTGATTTACTGGGGTATCTATGTGTAAAGAGGAATTCTCAATGTATAAAACTTGTTTTGGAGTTATGTTTAAAACAACAATGACAAACAATTCTTAACTATGAGTTGGACGATACTAGACTAAACTGGAGTCAGCCATCTTTCCTGGCCCAAAGAAGGCTTGAAAGTTGACTAATTTCCATCTCGGAAAAAGTTTAAGGTCCCAGGAGAATTTGACACCATCAATAAGAGTCACAGGCATGTATGTTATGGAAAAACAATTTTCATAGGGAAAAGCTTTATAACTACTTCATCTGGATTCTGCTTGCTTTCTAAATGTAAATTACCAGCATTTAACTAAGGAATAAAGCTGGACTATGACAGTAATTCAAGGAGAATTCGTTCCTTAGTGCCAGCCAAGTGCCAGATTACCTAACAGAGCTGAATCCTTCTAAAGATGAACATCAGCATCAAGGTAGTACCATGGACAGTCACCAGCTGAGATTCCCACAAAAAGCCTCTCTCGTCCATATCCAATCAAGTCTTTTATCTTATTTTTCTATTAAGTTTCATATATTGTTGAGACCAAGGGGGACAAAAAAAAAATCTAAACTTCACTCAATCTTACCATCCTAATGTTAAAGTAATATGTCAATCTTCAATAATAGCATCTTGTATTTTGTAGTTAGGTATAGCTTTCATAGATTTTTGGAGGTAGTTACTTTATTCACCCAATGTTTATTGGCCTCCTACATGTGCCAGCCACTTTATTTGGTGAAATGAATACAAAATAACATTCCTGCCATCAGTGAGTGCACAGCACAGTAAGAACAGTGAATTGGTAGCTACAATAAATAATAAATGGAATGTATGTTAAAATAGAGCTAAATACACTGTGCTGCCTGGGTCTGAAAAGCAGATATTGAAAGGAGAAAAAGAATATCCATGAAGGAATGTGGACTTTCAAATTATAAGCAACTGAAGATGCTTCCATTCCAGTCATAGTATTGAGTTAAAAATGGAATGAAATTTATATATCCCCATAGCAATCTTTAGTAACTTTGCTTGAACCAAATAAATCAGGTCAAGTGGGTATTTAATAAAGGTTTGTTACATAGAAAAATCTCCAATGATCAGCATTCATTTTGTAGATTGACGGTGTATGTGCTTTTGTGTTGAGTATTTATGAAAAAGAGTCCATTTAAAGATAAGCTCTTGGGAGGACGTATGAAATATTTCCCATCCTATTTTGATTACTGGTATTGAATTAAGGGAAATAAATTACTGGTGTATTACTTTCAGTGTCTTAGCATTTATTTACCAGAGAGAGAACTAAAGAGATTTTAATTATTTCATACTAGGTGAAGATGGCTTCCTGCTTGTTTACCAGTAACATTGGTTTTGGTTCTCTGCTGTGAATGACATAAGGTTCTAGAAACTTATTTTCCTCTTGGGTGCAAAAGATTTAAAGGCAAATTCTTTCTCTACTATGACTTTCCTCATGGGCAGGCTAATTCTGGGATACTTCATTCTATTTTCTTAATACAACCTTTCCAATTCTTTCAAAACTTTCCAAAGATTGTGTTTTTCTAGGAAAGGGTCCCAAATTGAGCTGATATAATTTATTTAAAACCTTTCTCTTTAATTGAAGATAGACTATAAATAAATTTTAAAACTACTTATTTAGTAGCTTTTAGGCTTGACGTAAAATTTTTACATTTTCTAGGATTATATTTTCAAAATACAGAACAGATTAATATCCGAGGTGGTTCTTTGGAAATTCGTAGCCATTATTTAAGCAAAGCACTACAGTTGGATTAATATTTCTGATTCTGACATACTCTGCATATAATTGATGCAAAAAAAAAAAAGAAGACAAATCTACCAACGAACAGAACAAATCTACACAGTTCCTTTCTTCTAACTCTCTGGTTTTCCAGACATTGCTGTTTTTTCTTCTACTTTGAACTATAACATTCAGGATGTCCAATGCTTCCCTTGGGCATATTCATTTCACAATTTGAAATCAAATGCATCACTGAATATATTTGGCAATCTAGACTAGAAAAATGGGTCCTACTGCACTGCACAAGCTCTCAACATTCCTCTTGGGGGGCACTGATGCACAAGTTTTGACCAATCAAATGTAACTTTTGTTAATGTCTAGAAACACAGTCATTGCATTATTTAGTAATAAGTGTCTAAAATATATTTACTGCTCAAGAGAATTATTGGAGTGTTCAGAACGAGTTCCTAGGATTATAGCTCATTTTCTTCTCAAACCAATGGATTGTTGAAGACTGTGAGGACAGAGCTGTTCCTGAGAACTTCATTTCTATAGGGGAGCAACAAGTTTTCTGTTTCAGTTCTTACTTCACGAAGAATAAAATCACAGTTACCTGGGAAATCTGTGAGTGACAGAGAGGACACAATAGTTACCTCATCGTGATTTTCACTTCATTTACTGATCACAATCCGGAACAGACTGTGTGTGGTTGTTCACTGAGAGATAAGCTTGGATAAAATGCGAGGATTTCAGAAAATAAGTTGCTTTCCAAGATTAAGAAAAAGCCAGCCAGCTCTATAAACTGTCTAAATACAGAAACTGGCTATGTTATAAGGACTGCTCCGAAAAACCTTTAAAAAGATAGATTTTTAACTTAAATTTATTGTTTTTGATCTGATTACAAAAGAAATATAATTTCATTTTAAAAATTAAAAATGCTAATTTGCAAAAATATCCACTCAAAATTAAGCAGTTTACATTTTAATGTATATTCTTAGAGTTTTTCTATGTATAACATATTTTTCTAGTGGAATCACTTTGTATACTTTCCTTTGTTGACATAAACCGTTATGCCATCCAAACACTGCAAGGGATACAGTAATGAAAGATGGACACTCCCTGACTCATTGAATGCACATTCCATTTGAAAATGTGTCCAAATTATGCCGTTTGTAACCAGGTTTTCTTCTCTAAGCAAAATTTTTTCAATTTGTTTAATTTTTTTCATAGACAACTATGCCATGTTTTCCTGTGAACTAATTTTAATACGCTGCTGAGAAATCTACTGAGTGAGTATGCAGTAGTTTACTTAACCCATCTCCTGTGGGACATTTTCTTTAATTCCCCTTGGGTGCTATTATAATGGCTGCAATTAGCAACATAAATAATATTTAGATGTGAAATTGTTGTAGAAACAAGTGAAATTTCTAGCCTTATCCAAATTTCAGCGTTTATTTCTTTTATAAGAATCCCTGTTTGCCTCTGGAATCTGCTATGTCAGACTCATCTATTTGTCCAGATGCTCTGGGGTACAGATCACTGTAACCGAAGAAACTTTAAAAGTTTTAGTTTATGTCTTCTCCCAGAGCAGAGCCTACATACATGTATATATAGGTATATATATATCCACTGGCATTCCCTTTATATAAAAGAAGTTTCAGCATTGTATAAAATACTTACATGACAGGAATCCTGCTTCCTTCCATGACTGTTATGGCCACCACAAGCCGCCTTTGTTAAGTAGGTAAGTAACTGAAGTTGCAAACATTTGCGTATGAGTTGCTACAAAATCATAATTTATGGTTACATTGTCTTAATCCTTGCAGGTGGGTTAGTTTTCATGAATAAGGTCTCTCATTTTGTGTCACTTATAAACCTGTTCAAATCACATAAAACATACACATACATATAATTTTTTTAAAATGGAGATTAATGAGGAAAGGGATTATATCTAATCCTATTATCATGATTAAGGTAAAAATGCCAATGAGATTACATAACATCCTCTAAAAAGCAGGGGAAAGAGGTGGTGAGGGAATTGCTGTTTCAACGACAATTCTGAACCTGGTGCTGCTATTTCCTGGTGAGGCCTCGGGCAAAGCAATCAGTGTTACACTCCAACTGCCTCCTTTAAGAACGGAGCCCCTACTCTGTCCTCGTAAACACTGCCTTAAAACACTTGACCAAACTGTGAAGTCCTGCCTCATTTCAAAGTTACATCACTTTCCAACTGCTATGCGACTTTCCTGGATTTAACAAAGAATATAGAACTTGAACTTTTATTTTCCCTCTTGTAAAGAAACAATGAAAGACTAAATGCACAAGATTAAGGAGATGATTTTCAGGCTATTGCAATAGGAAGGGTGTTCATTTTGAGGAACATCTCAGAGTAAAGGAAGGGGGTCGATAACTTCAAAGAGGCAGATAAACAAAGGGGTCACACTCACTCAGGAAAGGTATTGGTGGGTCTTATCTCAGAATGTACGAGAGCAAGGTGGCTACTTCCCAGAAGATGAAACGGTGGGGGGTTTTTCAACCTTGCTGTACTTTCTAGGAACACAAGGGCTTCAGGAAAAGTTCACCATTGTCAGTTATCCTTCCATTTCAATCCACTGCTGAATCATAATGCTTTTTGGTCGATGATGGGACCAAGTGAAAATAGATTTCACAGTCACTGGGAAAAATTATGAATTTTCTTTTCAATATATCAATACTTACTTTTTTGAAGGAAAAACTGAACTATGTTTTATTATCAACTAGGTCATTTGAAGGATGAGCTATTACTTTTAATCCTAGGATCAGTACAATTCATTATAAAAACTTATTTTCTACAAGAGTGCTTCAAAGGCTTTCTACCAAATTGTGCTGCTCGTTGATCTCTTCTTGCCTTAGGCAATCAAAAGTCAATGACGTTATAATGTCATTAGCAACTATTTAAAAATCTATTGTGAGGTAATAAGACTTTCTGAAGTTTGATACAGAAGCCTGTGTCCTTTAAAAGTGACATATGTTCTGATATTTCCAAAAAGACTAGCGGATTGAACAAGGCTTCCTAAGAAAGGGAGTGCTTGCACCCACACTTATTTCTTCTCTTCCTTCTTCAGAGAACATTAATGCAGGTGTTTCCAGCATTTTGCACTTTACAAAAAGTGCTAAAAACACAAACCCACACATCAAACAAATTTTTAGAGCTATCACACCTCTCCAAAATAACTTAAAATGTGTTTTGTTAATTAGGTTGCATCTTGGGTGAGGTCATATTTAAATTAAATCATGGATCAAGGTGAAAGGAGGCGCGGGACCTGATACACAGCTTTTAAATAAATATGCAATCCATATTTATTTGAAAGAGGAGACAGTTTTGTGAAAATGAACACTTATATTTAATATGACTTATATGGATAATATGTACTTGAAGTAGGAGAGGAAAATAAGGCAAAGGAAAGAGAAAGGTGGAAGGTAAAAATGTACTTGAGCCACAAAATGAACTACTTGAAGTCCCGTGTATCTTGGGGAAATATTTGGATTTGAATGTAGAGTTGATTATATTTGACTATTTTGGATAATATCCTTGTCTAGATGAATGCAACCAGGTGATTTATAGCTCATTCCCACAAAAGATGGTGTGTCTTTGAGCAATCAAAACAATTAACCTACATATTGGTCACTAAGTAATCAGTACAACATACTATCTTGAGGGACAACCAACCCATTTCAAATTTCTCTCTCATGACTCTCATTTACCCCTTTTGTGCAGTGAATTTACTAGTGGAATTTCTGGTGAGTTCTACTTGGTTAACATGGGTTACCCATTTCTCATACTACTGAACCCTTGTTTTATGTGTAACAAGCTGAGTTAGTCAGGGGTATAGACAGAAAATGGCTGTATTATTCATCAATAATTGTCAAACGTGTTTTATGGACGACTCCTTCTCTGCCCCTTGCTGACTTCTCAGGTGGATCCCATTGCTTTTTGGGTACTTTGAGTTATCAGTCAATCAACAAACACCTACCTATATACATACATACCCAACACTCACTTTGATGAGAGCGATGATAATTTTCAGGTGGAAAGCCTAGACTGAGTCAAGTCTGTTTTCCCTCCCACAGCTTGGCGCCCACTCTGAACTGAGGAAACTGCCTGAGGAAGAAGGGCGAACTTGCCCTTTAATACAGGCCTCTCTCCCACCCTCCTCCATTCCACCTGGTTCGGGGGCCAGGAACGGATGGAGAGGGTTAGGGAAAGAGTTGGCAAGTCTTTTACTTAAATGATATGTACTTCAGCTCTTTTAGTCTGTTGATGTCCTCTGGGTGGCAGGCAGAGCCTACTTCCGGGGCATGAAACCAGTGCCTTCACGCAGGGCCTCACCTTCGGGGTTAATGCTCTGCAGCTGCCATCTTGACATTCTTAATAACGTCTTCTTTGGATCTGTTTTGTAAGTGAAGTCCTTTGGGAACAACAAGCATGGACCAGGGCTTGGCACATGCAGT